GGGGGGGGGGGGGGGGGGGGGGGGGGGGGGGGGGGGGGGGGGGGGGGGGGGGGGGGTCACGAGTTCGGGGTGGGACGTAAAACCGTACACACAGCGACACTTCTCACATCTAGACGGAAATTAAGACGAAGGGGGGTAGGCACTGGGGTCATGGGTAGGGTTTGCACACGGTACTGGTTAAGTACTGCGGTGATGGGGCGTAGATGCAGGGAGCAATCCACCCGTTGGGGGGGCCATCGTGAGCCACGACGAGGTGTACTGTTGTCGTGTACGCCGCGACAGAAACACCGGGGATGGAACTGGATCTCCTAACCTGCAAAGGAGCGGTTGGTGCAATCGAATTACCAATCCTATCGAACAGATCAACTGCGTCTGCTGAACCGGAAGCCTACAGCATCGCCTTATTCGCTGCAGGCTTTCTCCCCGGGTCGACCACGAGCGGCTGCTCGATTCTTTCGCAAGGGGGAGAGAGCGCCAGAGGGCCTTATTTGACGGCATCAGTACTCCGACAAGTCGACCTTTGGCTTGCCGGGCACAACCACCCGTGTCGTGGGGTAACGGGAGCGGGATGGAAGTCCAGTGGGGGTGGAAGAGGCGCATACTGTTACGTTGTCTATGTTGTGACGGTGCTGCTCCACACAGCGGGGTATACGTTTCACGTACCGCTGGTTGCGCAGGAATCTCATATCCAGGGGATAGATATTACTTTTGAGCCCTGCCGGCAGTGTGGCATCTTCGAATGTACTACCGTGAAACATGCTCCACGTGTGTAATATAACCTAGATGCGCTGTGTCCGTCACAGTCGATGGATGCTTCAGGCGCGACGCTTTCGGGCGCAACGCCTGGACAGACCTACCCTCACCGCTGTTGCTCATCTCGAGGACGCTGCTAGATTATTTGAAACGATTGTGTGGGGTTCTTTGCACCCTATGGCAGCAGCAGTGGAGGTGGACATTAGTGAGACCTCGTTACTATTATACCCAAGACTCGGCTGTAGAGCGTACATGCAATCTACACATGCTCCTACAAAAACATGCTATCCTTTTCACTTTTAGATTTGCGGCGCACGCTGCTTTTGGGCACATCTCTGCCCAACTTCTTGTGCAACGCGCTCGACTCTTTGGATCAAGCATACGAGATAAAATAAAATGAATAAAACATTCGCAATACCATCGAATAAGGCGATGGAGACGGCAGCACAGCAGTTGTTAGTCGCTCTGGCAGCACGGTACAACGAGGCTGCGTGAGCCAAACTTGCGTCGTGGTCTTCCGACAAGGAGGGGCGCGAGGTGCACGCCCAGCTACCAACTGTAGTGGTACCAACTAAATTTGAAAACTCGATGTCCCTCACCTCTGCGTGGCCAGGGCGAGGCTCAACAGACGGCGAGCAACATTCGACGAGTCCAACGTACTCCTGCAACACAAACAAGTGTTGCGGGTGCGCTACATTTGCCACAGATTGCCTCCGCTTTTATACCGGTGTTCGCCATTGTTGCAGCGGATACACAACCCACCTGTGGCGGAGGATACCAGCAGTAGCCCAAATCGGTCCAGAGCAGCCAGCGCAACGACACAGCCGTCGTCTGCTGCTGCATCGAAACCTGCGCCCGGGAGCGCCAGCTTCCTCGTCGCACGCAGGAATCCCAGGCTCTCACGGTACTCGGACTCCGGCAGGGTGATAGGGGCGGCGGCGCCACTGTTACCGCGGCTGGCGCCGCTGCCGATGCCGGCGGCTTCCTCATCGCCGTCCAAGGAATTATCATCGGCGGTACTGCTGTCCTCGTACTCATCGTCGTAGCCGTGGCCCTCAGACCCACCATAATCATCCCCATCAAGAGGCTCATCCTCTAACTCCACTATCCTCGGCATGGCCTCTGCTGGGCTGCTGCCACGGCAATGGCGAAGCTAAAACGGCTGTGCCAGGCTCGCGAGCGGCCCGGGGGCTCCGCTGAATCGTGCACAAAAAAGAGTACAGCCCCACTACGTGCGGCCACCGGGGGCAAAAAGCAAGCCCGATCGAGTAGAGCATATAGGGAACATAGGGGAGAGAGCCACCCCTCTCTGACATACCGTCGGACATGGCAGATCTGGTGGAGGGGAGTCCGTCTCGAGGTCCTGCAGCAGCTGGAATAAATCGACATGGACCCATGTTGCGGCGGCGGCGACGCGGAGTAAATCATCTGTCGTGCCCCGCTGAAGTTGCAGTTGGACGGCGGTCTTCATCGGGAGCAGCACGCCGCACGAGGATGAGAAGGACAGCAAGAGGGGCTTGGGCGAGAGATCGTCTTCGTATAGCTGTTGCTGGTGTTGCAACGTTTATGTGTGCCCGCTCAGCGAAAGTAGTGCTGCTGTCGGTGGTGCTGTCCCTCTCTCCGAAGTGGTGCCGGATAGGCGGCGTGACTGCTGTCGCCCCAACTCCTGCACCTGCCGAGCATCACGACAGCCTCTGGGATACCATCAGCGGGGATCCCGACTTCTCCAAGCTGACGGCATGCCTGGAGATGGCTGACCCTTCCGTGATGGACCTGCTGAAGGCATCGCCTGGTTCTGCGGCGACAGCGCAGCCGCTGACACTCTTTGCGCCCACAGACCTGGCGTTCGAGCAGCCGGCCTGGAGGAAATATAGCGGCGGCGCCGGCAGCAACGGGGAGGCCGACCACAACGGCACTATATTTGACGACAGGTAAATGAGACCCGCCAGCGAACAACGGCCACAACTACTGCGTACCCCTGCGCCGCTGCTAATTACTGCTGTACGGTATATAGAGTACTCGGGATGAGCATGCAAAGCGCCCACTAGCCTTCGACCGCGCTAGGCCGACACCAAACATGCACGCACGCTCAGGACGGCGGCAGCGTGACAACGGCTTGGCTGCGATCCATGCCGGCAACGAAATTGTGACGATGGACACGCGAAGCGGTGCGCTGCGCGTCCCTTCTCTGTGCGGCGGGGTTGAAAATATGTCGACAATAGACGACATACCGCTCGTCTTGAATACACAGCTCAACTGTTTTCGGCCTCGATGCATCCGCTGCGACGGGCCAGGTGCCGAGATAAGCAGTTGGCGACCGCCCTGGTGAGCTACCACGTGTCCACGATGGCCTCCGCTACCCCTTACATCGGTGAGTCGAGAGAACGTCCCAGCCACGGAAGAAGTGGAAGCAGTAGCGGAACCTCAAGAGGCACGTTGTTGTGTGTGAGCCCATGTGCTGAGATTCGGCCGTTACACATGGCAATCAACCGGTACTAGGGAGGAGAGGCTGTAGACCCGGCAGGACTCTGCGTAGAGATGCACCAACAGAGAGAATGAAGAAGCGAAAGGTGCACAAGCGAACAGATGCATGGATGCATTTAATTCTCAAACAGTGGCATGCGCGTTCCTCGTCAACATGTTTTGGGCAGGGGAGGAGTTCCCAAGCCTGCTCGGAGAGGACTTCTCCCCCCGCTACTACGGCATTCCCAAGTCACCGGACGTGCCGGCGGAGCTCTTTCCCATCCAGTTCGTCGATTCCGCCAACGTTACGGCGACGCCCACCGTTGTCGGCGGGCCCACGGTCGCGGTCGGGAGCAGAGACGGACGAGGAGGAGGAGGAGGAGGAGGATTAGGAGGAGCAGGAGGAGGGGAGCCGAGCTACTTGTTCCCGGTTGATCGGGTCCTTCGACCTCCAGTCGGTGAGACGGGGGAGGGACGGAGAGTTCGAGTTTGATTTGTACCGGCAGCGTTGTGGTTGATGTTGGTGGTGTTATCGTTGTCGTTGTTGTTGTCGTTGTTTTTGTCGTGTTGTTGATGTTGTTGATGTTGTTGTCGTTAACGTCGTTAACGTCGTCGTTGTTGTGTGCGGTTGTGTTCACGATAACAAAACGTTCCGATCCCGTGCGCAGCACCCTCTGACCTCCTGACTGGTCCAGCTGATGCGGATGCTTCGCGGCCAGTTTGTCGGGGGGGGTTTGCAACACCCAGCTGGGACGATAACCGTAGCGCCTGTACCATCCTGGCATTGCCGTTTGTTGGAGGAGCGACGGCTGTTGCGGGACGACGAGGTTTCAGATCGTCCGTGAGCTCGAGCACTGTTTTTGCCCACCCGTGTCTTTGTTTCGCCCGCGACGAAGATAAGCGGGAACACTGTACTGTATTGTTGTTTGCTTTTAGCTGGGAAGATAATGTCAACAACGACATCGACGACGACGAGAAAAACAAGGAGCTTGATCGATCAAGAGGTTGGGAGTCCCTCCCTTGCTCTCTCCCTCCGCTTTGCTCTAGCACGAGGCTCGTTGTAGAGAAAACTATTTGGACCCCTACACCGACAACCGTGTATATACTTACCTACTCGGGCATTCAGTCAGCCCCCCCACCCCCCGCTCCTCATTCTCGACGCGTCAAATCCCCGCACGAACGGTCTGAAAACGGCTTATCGTCGGACTCATGGTCATCAACCTACACACGGACCAACCAACCAACCTCATCCCGATGCGAACGCGGTCGGAGCTCTTCAGACAGGGGAGAGAGGGGCTACTCTTCCGAGTGTTCAAACAATCGTACTTCGCTATCCGTACCCCACCCCCCGACGAACCAAACCGCAGGCACAATATGGGAAACCTTGTGTTCAGACCCGTCGTTCTCCCTGCTCGCCGCCGCCCTGAACTCTACGAGCCTGGCGGCCACTCTGGACGGGGACGGCGGTGGGGCGGGGGCTATGGCGTACACCCTCTTCGCCCCCGATGACGACGCCATAAAAGCCTCCCCGGAGTTTCCGCAAGGTGTTGTGAAAACGTGTGTGCTTCTGTTGTCCTTTTTTTTTTTGTGCCGGTCTGTATGCTATGTGTTCACCTCTCCTCGAACCTGAAGGCTCATGCACGGGCTTGGTTGGTTGAGTGTTGGCACGTTTTGAGACGCAGGTACTCAATTATTGCCAAACCGTACTTCGCGTAGATGTCCCGTACATGTCCCGCTCGCCTCGACATCGTGTGGGAGTATCGTGCCTGTGGTTTCGAGTCCGCTTGTCAGGTTCAGTAATTTTGGCGGTTTTATCTCGCTTTTTTTTCTTCGTGTTGTGACACTAAAAAAAAAAAACGAAGGCATAGTTGGTGGACGCAACCCCACCCTCGCGCGCTCGCACACGAAGTCAGCTCTTGCTCGCGGGCGGAGGAGTATTTGCCGCGGTAACGAAGATATTCACCGTCGAGGTTTCGGACTTTTATCTCTCTGTGAACGGTTGGAAACAAACTTACACTGGAATGCGCAACTGTGATAATCTGTTGTTTCCCCCCCCCGTCCCTTTTCATGACTGTGTGATACCTGGTACGCACTCGCACTTGGAATGCACCCATTTTGGTCTTAACTGTCTCGTGGCTGCTGTACATGTAAATAAAGATGACCCCGAAGCGTTGGAGGTGCTGCTGTCGTTCCACACGCTCGCGGCCGGGGTCTACCCGCTGTCCCTGAGCGGGGCCCACTTCTCGCAGCAGCTGTACAAGGTCGACCCCACCTCGGGATCCCTGTCGCGCGACTACTACCGCGAGTTCTATGCCGATTCCTTCGAAGACGGGCAGGCGGGTAAAGTCTCTGTCTCGCTGTCGCTCTCGCTCTATTGCTAGGTTTTTATTTCAGATGGGACGTGAGCGGAGTTTTAACAGTTTGCACCTGTGGTTTCGTGTGACGTGATCGTGGAAAGCGTGCCGACCATTTTGAGGAGACACGCGGGGTCAAGTATTTCAGATGATCGATCCTGACAACCCCGAGGAAAGGGTGTGTATGCAAGGAGGTGTTAGTTTGAACTGGCTGAAGAAATATGCGCCGTGACTTACCGCCAGGCGGCTCCTTCAGAGAGGGATAGGTAGACAAGAGGTATGCGTAGGAACGGCATGGCTCTCGTAGGTGGTGGTCTCTGTCCGCGTCCTTCCGCTCGTTTCTTGGAGCTTTTCTCAACCTGACCACCCCTTTTTTCTGCTGTCGCTGCTGCTGCGGTCGCTGCTGGTGTTTGGCGCCGATGCTGCTGGTGTGGTGATGGTCGCGGTGATGGTGGTGCTGCCGCTGCAACGCCGACGTTTCGCTTGTTTCGTTTTTCTCTTCCCCCAGTTCACCTCGCTGGCGGGGCCGCTCCTGAACGTCTCGAGGACGTCCTCGTCTCAATCTTCTTCTCCGTCTTGCCTAGCGTCGCAACAGCAGCAGCAAGAAGACCCTTTGCTACAACAAGCACCACCACCACCACCAAGGCTGCGACCGCCGGTTCACTCCGTGTTATCATTGCTGGTGGAAGGAATTCCGGTGTCGGAGGCTGACATCACGGCAACCAACGGGGTCGTCCACCGCCTTTCCGCCGCCGTCATGGCCCCGCCCGACACCGTAGCGGGGGTGCTGCTGAACCCCCCCTTCCCGCTCTCCGCTGCCGGGGGAGGAGGCGGGAGCGGCGGCGCGGGGAGCGGGTTTGGGGCTTTGGGGGAGCTGGTGCGGTTGGCGTGGCCGCTCGTGAACACGACACTTACGGAGGAGGGGCCTCTGACTGTCCTTGCCCCTACGGACGCGGTGAGTTGCTATTGTTGCTTGTGCCAGGTCGGCGTGGTGGAAGGGCCTGGCTCTTTTTCTGTGGAACGTTAACAGGGTTGAGTCTCGTTGTTGGCGTTGGCTGGCTGGTGTCCGTGTACAGCCATCTATAGCACTCTTTCTCGAGCAGGAGCGGTACTGTAGGGAAAAAAGAAGGGAACAGAGGGTCGTGGAGCGTATGTAGGACACACGGGCTTGAGACACAGAGACCGTGAAGACTCGGTGCCCGCTATCGTGGCGACGCCAATTTTATCTGATGGGAGCATGAAAGAGTTGCCGGCTTTCACAGCGGTGGCCTGGTTGTTGTTGGCGGGAAGGAAAGGGGCTTCTGCACCGGCTATTGTACACCCTCCCCGGAGTCACCGACAAGCTAAGCGACCGTATTTGGTTGCAGAAACCGTAGTTGTGGTACACGAGTTTTGGGGGGCCTTTGGCCTGTGAGCATTGTAGGCATTCGCGTCAGTTGGAGCCGGTACGACGGGTGTTATTATTATTATTATTTTTTATATACTATAGTATTAGAAGGATATGAGCAGACACCGGAGTTGTTCTTTTTTTGTTAAAACAACAACGACAACGACAACAACACGAACAACCAGCGTTTTTGTTCCGAATCGGCTTGCTGCCGTCCGCTCGAACGGAACCAAGGGAAGAGATGGACTTGCATGAAGTCGGCGTCTGCATTGACCGAGTGTGGGATGTGAACCTTTCAGGCGTTCATTGACGTCAGCGGTCACGCCTCTTGTTTCAGCAGCCGGCATGGGTGATGTGATGATCTTTTCGGCACGCGCCCGCACCCTGGTTCGATCTTCCTCTGTCTGTCTGTCTGTCTGTCTGTCTGTCTGTCTGTCTGTCTCTGCTTCTTCATGTTCTTCTTGTTTTTCTTCTATTCCTTCTTCTACTACTTGTTGATTCCAACGGCCAGGCTTTTGACATCGTGATCGCCGCCGGATACCTTCCCCCCCGGCCTTGGTACGAGGTCAACTCAACATCGTCGTCGTCGTCGCCATCGCTTGGTGCGTGGTTGGTCAGGTCATCAAGCCCAGCTTCCTTCTTTCCCATATATGTGTGCCGCGCGTTGTTTTTTTCGGCTTGTCGTTCGTCGTTTTATGGACCAACAACGACTGTGCTGGCGGTGTCTGGCCCTTTTGGCTCCTCCACGACCGTGCGTGTGGTTCGGTTCTTGGCGATTGCTCCGTCTCATGCTCACCACCCCTCTCTCGGCATGCCTTCCTCTGCCTTTTGCTCACAGGGTTACATTCCTGAAGCAGTAGCTAGCCGTAGCCATCATTCTCCTTTTCGCCTGGTCCGCGTTTCTCCTTTCCGGGCAAGTAGGTCTTGAAAGAGATGGCCGTGTATCCAACAATTTTCGAACCTCTCTCTCTCTTCACTTTCAAGGCAACCTTCTAACCCACCGGGTGGAGGGATTGCCTTTAAAGCTTCGTGCAACCACGGCGAGCTAGTTTTTTTTTAATTTCCTACCCCTCCTCCACGTGGCCTCCCCCTCAGACCCCGTTTCAACCCACGTCGCCGCACTATTGCAGAGGCAGTACTATGCTAGTCAAAGAACATGACGCATTCAGGCAAGATTGCACCGTCCACACTATCGGTGGCAAGCGGTTTTGAGTCCATAGCGGCTCTTGCTGTTTTTTCGCCATCGTCACATTCTGTTAGTGCCGTATAGCTTCACCCTCCCCTCGCATCATTTCGTTTTTGCTTTCGTTGTGTCGCCGAGGGTGCTATAACCGGGCCTTGGTGCTCTTGAAAGGCGGCGTAACCCCTTGCCCTCCCGTTCGTGTGTGGCCATGCTCGTCGTCGTGTCGTTCTCTCTCTCTTCTTATCGTTGTCTTTTGTTGCTGCCGAAGTTGGTGGCGATGTGCAGCGTGATTGAACCGTCAGCCGTTTCACTCAAAACTCGACCACCACGACAGAGGGATATTTTTTCCCCACATTACGAATAACATTTCGTTTCGTTTTCCCTGTCGTTGTTGCCGAAATTCCTTAGGTACTAGGCGCGATAAAACCCATCAGCCCTTGCACTCCATTGGACCACAACGAAACAGAGGGTTGTTCCTACAGTCAACCCCGCTTTAAGGACATCCACGTTTTTTGTTTTTTTGAAAGTGTCGTTAGCGCTGGGAATCGTCTTTCAGACCGGTATCCCCCCCCCCTCCCCCTATCTTATACCATGTATGTGAGGCGAGGTGCTTCTGAGTTTTTTCTTGTCCTTAAAGCGGGGAGTTGGCTTTAAGATCAGTGTCCTTACAGCGGGGACGACTACTGTGCCCTCCTTTTTCTGTCAAATCTTATTTCGTTGTTTCTTGTTCTTTCCTCCGCAGGCCTTACCCCGGAGAGAGCCGCGCGGTTGCTCCTCTCGCACACCCTGCGCCCCGCCGAGGGCGAGGGGCCGCTGCTCTTCACCCCGACCGCCGGCGACCCCTTTGCCTCCGGGTTCAAGGACGGCGACCGCCTCCTCACTGCCGTCGTCGTCGGCGGCTCTGTTGCGTCTTCCACCGGTGATGCTGACGACGACCGGAGTGATGAGCACGGAGGCGGCCTTTCAAGCGAAGACGGGTTTGGCGGTGTTGATGGTGTTGGCGGGCGTGGAGGAAGCTTGGGGGCTGCAGCGGCGGCGGGGGCGGAGGCGAATGTGGAGGTAGGGGTGAGGGTGGTGGAGGTAGGGACTCGGTCGGCGGTGGCGGGGACGGCGGACGGCGTGGCGGACCGGGAGGTGTACGTCGACGGGGCAAGGTGAGAGGGAGAAAGAGGCAGGAGGGTTTCTTCCACTCTGCCGGAACAGCAAATATATGTATATATAGAGAGAGACAGAGCTCTTGCCGAGATGGTTCAAAGTTGCTGGCCATGCTTGGTGCAGGGGCACGAAGGGAATTAGGTGAGGGGGAGTCGCGTACAACAGAGGGCAAGTAAGTGGGAGGTACCATTTGTATCAGGTGGCGCAGGCGACACGAGACGGATCGCGTTTGACCGGACGCTCTCTCTCTCTCTCTAGTGCACATGGTTGCGGTACCAAATATGGTATCCGTTTGAAACATCTTTGCGGGAGGTTTCTCCCTCCTGCGGGTGGGGTTTGCCCTCCTCCCTGCTGCCAAGTTTCCGAGGTGGGTATCCCCTAATGTAGGCCTTCGCGGGTGGGTCTACGGCGAGAGTTATAGAAGGGAAGAGGTTGTAGAGTAGCCAAACCTGCCGTCGGTCTGGAGCGACAAGAGTCTGAGAATGAGAGACGCAAGTGGGTCAACTCAGCTGGTGTGAAGAGAGTTGAGGGTTGAGGCGAAGAAAGTCAGGGCTATGGTAAGGAGAAAGAGGCGCACGAAAGACCGCTCGCACGGAGACAGGAAGAGGTGAAAGAGAGAGAATCAGAAGCGGGGAGGCAAGCAAGGCCGTGATCGAAGTCTCTTTGCTCGTTTGTCAAGTGTAAGGGGAAATAGGGAACGCCTCAACGAGTTGTGTTGATTTGCCGGTTGACGAACTACCGAAAGGATAGCAGGCTCCGGCAACCATTCCCTCCCACCGCCTACCATAAGATATATGTACCCCTCTTTTCCCACCCCTTTTCCCCCTCTTCGGCGTCCCCTCACACGGCCAAAAAACTACCGCATTCATACTCTGCTTGTCGTCGGTGTGGTGTGGATCTCTCAGGGTATTTCAGTGCGTCGATGGCACCGGGGTAGGTCATGACTGCGGCACGTCGCCGCGGCCCAGCAACACCTACGCCCTCAACGGCGCTCACCTCTGCGCCGTACACGCCGTCGACAGGTGAACTACATCCTACGTACGTAACGCACGGGTGCTCTCGGTTTCTGGAAAGTCGCCCTCTGGGTGTCGTTACCTGTACGATCGAATACTTTTGGTTGTGTTGATACGTCAAAGCAGATTTCGCCCCTCCGACTTCTTCTGTTCGTTGTTTTCGTCCATGCGTGTGTGCGTGCTTTTTTCCAGGCAGCGGGATCACTTTTTTTTTTTGTCGCTTAGCGTAGACTCTTCCTTTTTCTGTGGTGGTGTCTGCTTTGTATGGGTGGGTGGGGCTGGAGCGGGCGTGCATCTCACGCGAGGTCGTCGTCCTTGTGATTTTTGGTTCTAGTCCGCACGCGTAAGCGCACGCACATGTGCGTGTGTGTGTGCGTCAAGATTGGTTTGGAGATATCTGTGTTTTTCGCCTGTTCGTGTCAGTTTGGTAGGCGTGTGAATTAATTTCTACCCCCCCCCTCTTCTTCCTGCACTCGGGCACCGTGCGGTGTGGTGCGCACCTGAGAAGCGAAGGTTCACGACCAGAGAGCACAACCGGATCTCGGGCCCGGGCAAAGCATCATTGAATCGGCTGAAATAATGTTGTCGCGGTATAAACTAATGGCACGGCGGTACTACGGCCTGATAGTGATCTTCCCTCCACCTTGTGTGCATGTCCCAATCGTGACCCGTGATAGGTTAGCTCTTCCTCGTCTGGTGTCTCAGTTGTCGCCGGCCGCTTGTTGCTTTGCAATCTTGTCTTCCGTGTGTCTGTCTGCCACGGCCGAAAACAACAACAATAGAGTGATGTTCCCCGCGGACCCTTCGACGGACCTCGCGGCGATCCTGGACGGCACGCCGTCCCTCTCGCGGTTCGCGGCGCTGCTGCGAGAGCACGGCCTCTTGGCCCCGACTTCTCCTTCTTTGCCCTCCTCCTCCTTCTCCTCCTCCTCCTCCTTCGTTTTCTCCGCCGCCGCTACTGGCGCTCGTCCGGCGACGTTGACGCGTGGCGATTCGGAGGTGGTTGTCGGTGGGAGCCAGAAGCAGAAGGACAAGCGAGGAGGAGGAGGAGGAGGAGGAGGAGGAGGAGGAGGCCACCGCGTGCCGGAGGGAAGCAGAGCGCCGTTCTTGACGGTATTCGCGCCGACGAACGCCGCGCTGGCACGCCTGGAGAGGGAGCGGCCTTGGTTGTTTCGGAACTCGACGGCGGCGACGGCGGTTGTAGGTGACGCAGGTGGTAAGGAAGCCGCCGGGGAGAGGGGTGTAGGGAACGCCGATGATTGGTCCCCGGTGCGAGAGCTGCTGGCGTATCACCTTGTTCCTGGGGCAGCATTGTTCTCGAGGTAAGCGAGAGCACGGAGCGGGGAGGGGGGGGGCTACGCTGGTCGCCCAGAGGTGTGTGGGTGGAGGGGTGTGGCGAGGAGAAGGCGCATGTTTGCCCGGAGTCAGTAGGAACGTAATTTTTTTGTTTGTTTGATTTTTTTCATAGAAACAAAAAATGGCACCGCCTCCATCGCGGGTAGCGTTTCAGGGTGATGCTTTTGCTTCTTGTTTCTGCCGGCCTTCTCGGGTTCGAATGCTGCGCGGCGCCTTCACTGATTCCCTTCAACGCCCCCCCCCCACGTCCTGCTTTGCAGCATTGCGCAGCATGATGCGGTCGCCTGCGCAAACTATTCCGTTCTCGAAGACTTCCGGCAAAATACGCTCGAAAACAAATCGTCGCAGCCTGGGCCTGGCCCCTACCGCCTCACCGACAATCCTGGTGCGATATTTCCGATTTTTTTTCTCTCGGTATCTGCAGGTATTTCAACGAATCTTCGCCCCCGACACGGACTCTCGCCCTTGGCGGGAGCGCCCCTGTGGCCGCCACATATATCACCGCCCCCGCCACTAGGGCTTACGGCACGCCTCCCTTTGGAGCGGCGACGGGAGGGGGGGGCGGGAAAGGCTGGGTGTCCGGAACGAGTACGAACGGCACCGGTGGTACCCTCCGCGTGAACCTCCAGACGTGCTCTTCGACGGATAGGCCAGCATCGGACGGAGTCCTGCACGTGCTCGCCTTTGATGACCGCGACAACGCAAGGGAAACCTATGACTTCTTGTACGGCGAAAGCGGCAGCAACGGCTCCCCGGGTAGCGCGGCCGGCGTCCTCGTCCCCGACGTCCTCGAGCTGACCTACGCGTACGGCTTTCGCGCCACGTACGAGGCCATAGTTGCGACGGCCGCTGCTGAGGCTGACGGCCTCGCCGTCGACAACACGACGGCAGTGGCCGACGCGCTGCGGGGACGCGCGCCCCACACTCTGCTGGCGGTGGCCTCTGTCGATGAAATAATGCGGTGGAACCCCCGAGAAACACACGCCTCCTCCCCGTCGTTCGGCCCCTCCTGGTGGGTCCGGGATAGCGGGGCCAGCATTTCGGCGGACACGCTGGGGTACGAGCGGCAACGGATGATGTGTGCTTTTTTGGGTGCTATTACTGTTGATTGATGCACGAACACTGCGTGCGGGGGGGGGGGGGGGGGGGGGG